GAGGGACGGCTTTGATCATGGACTTGGCCACCTCGACCAGGTCCGGTTCCTGAGGACCGGCTGCATCAAGCATAAAAAAGCACGTTAGACATAGTAAAAAGGAAGCAAGTCCGAATTCATAAGGACAGTTCCATACTTCTAGGCGGCCTGCTTAGAGTTTGAGAAGGAGTGGCCGGCTGTTTCTCAGCCGCCGCATGTTTCCTGGCAGCACCAGGAGAGCTCGCAACAGTCGTCTTCCGGGTCTTGGAGTCCGGCTGTTGGGAGGAAGAAGTTCTTGGGGTGCCCGTCTAAAAAAAAAAAAAAAAAAAAAAAAGCACACGGTCAGTATCTGTATAAACCCAACTTCAAAAAGGAGAAAGGGTGAAGGTCTTGCAACTTACCAAGGGCGCCTCCTTGTTAGGAGAGTCGGCTGAAGATTGTTTCATGACAGAGGCACGCAACATAGCCGCCGCAGTCTTGGAGGCGGTAATTTTGCTCATGGCGTCCGCTGTAAGAACAAATACCAAAGTTAATAAAAAGTCAAAACAGTAATGCATGGAAAAACAGAGTATTCGACAGGCCAGCTACCTCTTGAGCACCGACTGCTGAGGCCACAGGCGGCCAAAAAGTACTCGTCATAGAGCCATTTGAAGCTCGGGATGCAGTGTAGGGGTACTTGCTCTCGCACCCCTATAGTAGAGTCGACCCTCGTCTCTACTTTAAAGAGTCCTTTGTCCAGGATCTCTTTCTTAGCTCTTGGGGGAACAGGCGGCATGCTACGACCGCCTGCCAGAAGAGACGGATCCCTGTTCCATCTGTTGAAGCGCTGGTTCAGCTCCGTGTCCGAACTCTCAATGATAAGGAAGGTGCTTCGCCAATCCTTCCACTTGTTTTCTTTACCTCTTGTCATGAGGTAGCCTCTGTGGCTGGTCAATTGATACCAGCCGGTACCGCCTGCCTTAAAGGTCCGGCTGAGGTAGTTCATGTGGGCGAAAGCCTCGAAGTTTAGCTCCACCCCGTGCAGTTCGCACCCGACCACATAGCCGAGAACGTTGAACCAAGAGTTTGGGGCTAACTGCCATAACCCCAACTCATACCCATCCAAGATCCGCTGAACAGCCGGATGTAGTGGGAAGCGCAGCCCAGCTCTGATGGCCGCCTCGTAGCAGCCGAAGCAGGCGCTATCGTAGCTGGTACCAGCCGGCCAGACGACTGTGTCCTCTGGATCCGGCACAAAAACTAAAAAGTCGGGGCCCATTATGTGGTTCGCAATAAAGCTCCCCACTTTCTCTTGCATGGCCTTGATCCGGCCTTTTGGGACAGTGCAGTAGTAAGGGGTATTTTGCTCTCTATAAGAGGCGGACGGCTCCGCCCAATTTTCCCCCTTCTCAACTGCGTGAGAAAGCCTCGCCTCTTGTAGGCGGTTGTTTTTCTCTTATGTGTCTACAGAAGTATGACCAGAAGAACTAGACTCGAACTCGTCCTCTGACGAATCCGAAGAGGACGACTCCTCTCCTCTCCCAGAGGGGCCCGCCTCCTCTCCTTCGATAGGAGCGGGAGAAAAGGTAGACATGTCAACTGTAAAATGGGAAGGGACCACCTTGACCCCTCCCTCAGAGCTGTCGGCGGTTAAGCCGCCTTGGTTTACTTCAGCATCTGGCGCCTGGTCAGATGTCTCACTAATCGGCACCTGGTAGGAGGAGCCGTATGAGTTTGTAATCCTAGCAGTTCTTTTTGTTCTGGCCATTATGTTCTGCATAGACACAGAGACAGTCGGACTTTGTATAAAGGGCAAAGATTGGTTCGGAAAAGGGCAGGCGGCACTCCTAGTCCTAGATTCAGCCGTCCCCGGTGACCGGCTGATCACTAACCTAGGACGTGTCGTGTGCTTTCGTGGTGCCATTTCAAAAAGAAAAGGAAAAAAATAAAGAAAAGATAAAAGAGTGAGAGAACCGACGGTTACCTGAACAAGTGAAGTTGACGAAGTTCTGAAAATTCTGAGTAGCCGGCTTGTCAGAGCAGGCGGTAGGCAGAAAGAGTCCGGAATGTCAGAGCAAGTTCAGGGGTCCGAATGTTCTCTTCAAAAGTTCTCAAGTGTGAAAATGATTGAAGTCAACACACCCTTATATAGGCGAAAATGAGAAGGCGAAGGGTCACTCCCAAATTCAAAATTTGGGTGGGAAAATCTGTCGGCCTTTCACCGAGTGACACATGTAGCAGGCCGTCGCCTGTTACGGTGCGACACCTGTCACAGATAACACGTGACCAGTCACGTGCCACCTGTGAGGGGCAAATGATTAGAGATTTTTATCCACCAATCACCATCTGACACGTGGACCAACCAGGTTTCGCAACGTGTCCTTCACGTAGGCCAATGGGAGCCTGCCACGTGTCAACCAAATATTCGTCCACCATAGACCAGCCGCGACGCGACGCGTGTGGTTCCCATGACACATGGGAAAATGAGCCAACAAGGTCCAATCCTTGTTGGAGGCCCAGTCAGCCCTAGGTTTAACCTAAACCTAGAGAGTGGCACGCTTCCCAAGGTTATAAATACCTTATTTAGTCCTCATTAAAGGGGATTACGCACATTAAACACTCTCACCTAGAGAGACCAAATTACATTATTTCTGCATTAATTACTCCTTAATCAAGTACTAACTTGACCGTTGGAGGCGGATCTCCAATCATCCGGAGCATCCGTTTGTTTTGCAGGTACAGGCGTTCGGTTCCAGTCTCAGAATTGTAACTCTCCCGCAGGACATCAAAAAACCCCGAAACAGTACTGAGTTGAAAAATCACCGGAACGCTGATGTACTTAAGAAATACCATGTGTAAAGCCCTTCGGGGAAGAACAATCTAAGTAAGTACATCTTCATTATTAAGAAAAGGCCTTTGAGCCACCATTTATTCAAATTTCAGCAGATTTCTATTTTTACTGTCTTCAAAGGTTTTTGAAAAAATTCAAGGTTTTCATTCAGTGCTGCCCGAAGTATTGCCTAATAAGGCTTTGTACTTCGGATAGCCGTAAAACCTGCTAAGACGAGAATAAATGATAAACCCCCGAAGTATTGCCTAATGAGGCTTTGTACTTCGGATGGATCAGATCCTCCGGGCAAAGAGGCCATAGGCACATCCGAAACATTGCCTAAAAAATAGGAACTGATAAAGCCCCGAAGTATTGCCTAATGAAGCATTGTACTTCGGATAAATCAATTCCGAGTGATGATTGCACTTCCGAAGTATTGTGTAATGAAGCATTGTACTTCGGATATATCAATGCCCTGGCATCGTGTTTCAGATAGTCGTTCCCTCGGATGAATTGTAAGGGTTAAATATGTTGTTCTCAAAGCCTAATGCTTCTGAACAAAAAAATCAGATCCCTCAAAAACAAAATAGAAGAGAAAAGAAAAATGAGCAGAAACTTAAAGTCTAGATTATTACAAAAATTTTACTAAGGAAAAATCCTCGACTGCACCAAAACAGTCGAAGCAGTCACCTCAAAAACCTGAAGATCTCATCTTCAGATTTCTAAGGGGGGAAAGAGGCACTTGACTAGCCAGTTCCAAGCCGAAGCTAAGTACTTGGAAAAATTTCACGAGTTGAAAAATCTAAGTATAAGGAGCGAGGCAAAAGAATGAAAGCAAAACAGTGCACTCATAGCAATTAAAGAAGTTCTCAGCCAAAAATATCTTCAGGCCGAGATTCAGCACAAGTTCACAAGTTGAAGGGATTCAAAGAAACAACTAAGTAAAGAAAATAGAGCAATGGAAGAGAAAAGCTGAGAAAAACTTCATATGCATTCAAATGAGGATTTCCAAGTCAAGTACAGCGAAATCTGAAATCGGCAGTCGCCCACAAACGAAAAACACAGCTGCCGAAACTAGTACAAACTACTCAAAAGCAAAAAATAACAAAGTAGTGTTTTTGTACAATCATGGCGAGTTCCTATGCTTCGGCGTTGTCCGGATCAGGGCTGGGAGCCTTGGAAATCTCAGCAGCAGTAGAGGATGAAGCAGGCTGAGCAGTGTCTTTCTTTTTCAGTGCAACCTCTTCTTCTTCCTCTTGGGCCACTTTCTCGGCCAAACGAGCGAGGCAGGCAACATCGGCTTCATGAGCAGTCAACATGTTGGGATGGGTGAGATCCATTAACCATTCCTCGACCAAGTCCCAGTTGATGCTTGGGTCAGCATGGAAGGCAAGGCACCGAGCAACTTTGAAGCCGTTTTCAAAACCCTCATCATACTAATCTTGGGTGTAAATTCAGATCTTCAACAAGTTTTAGGCAGCCTCTAGAACCTTCTTTGCCTTGGCAGATTCATCAGTTTGGGTTTCAAGTTGGGTCTGGACTCCGTTCAACTCAGTGTTAACATAGGAAAGCTGAAGGTCCTTGGCCTTCAACTGATCGCCGAGTCGCTGAATCTCAGCCTCAAGATCATCCTGCCTTCGCTTAGCTTCTTGCTCGGCCAACACAACCTTCTCTTTGAAATCTTTGGCCATCATCTACCGAACTTCTGCCTCTTGTTTTATTTTCTTCTCGATTCGAGCTTTGAAGCTCGGAATATCATTTGCTCCATACTCCTGGATTAAGGCTTCGCCTTCATCAATCCAGGGAAAAATAGACCGTTCAAGTTCTTAGCAGTAGTCGCGGAAGCTGGTCGCCATTTCCTCTATCCGAGATTGGCAGTCCGCAGATTCCTCCTCTGCTCATTTGCTCTTCAGCTCGGCTAATCGAGCTCGGTGCTCAGCCTCCTCGGCTTTATACTTCAACTCCTCGTTCATACCCGCAGCCATGACATGGTTATGAACGACCTAAAAGGTTCGAAGACAAGTTAGCCGAGGAAAAGTACCGGTGCAAAAAGTCTAAATTTTTTTTTTTAAACTTTTGGCATCGGTTTTGGTAAAAACCGGTGCCAAAAATACCCTAAAAAAATTAAAAAAAAAAAATTTTAAACTTTTAAATTGATTTATAAACATAAACATATATATAAAGTTACATATTTTCATTAAAAAAAGCTGTAATATTACAATTTTCGTCCAAAAAAAATGTTTGCATTGCATATATATAAAGTTACATATTTGCCACCCCTGTCTGAAGACGGCAACATGCTGTCCTGAGACAATACTTGGCCAACCTGTTTAGCCAACTCTCCATTTACTCGGTCCAAATAAAGCGAATAAAGCCCAGACCTCTTCTCCATTGATTGCAATGTTTTACGAGCATGAAGAAATGAAATCAGCCATTCTTCAAACAACCCTACAATGACATTAAACTTTCACATCAATCTGCGACAGTTTCACTGAAACATGCAATAAATATTTTGTTATTGCACAGCAGTGCACTTAATTATACTGGTTCAAGGCGTAACCAACTATGTTCCTTGTAATAAGAGCCAATTTCAAAAGTAAAGCCATTTTTTGCACTAATATCCGTATTTTCTGTTAATATTTGAAATCTAACTGCAAAAAAAATGATTTTATGGAGTCCAAACAACAAGGTTAAATACATACTAATCTCAAAACCTTCATCTTTTGACCAAGTGACTAAGTAGTCTGACACTAGAAACTCAATAAGTTGAATCCTGCAAGTCAAGCAATTTATTAGATGAATAATAAAAGGAATTACTCCATACTAAAAGATAGCCAACTCAGAAACAACAAATGCAGTCCTAACAAAGTGAGTGCTATGAAAAGATAGGATGATAGTGGAACTAAAAATAATCACTTTGTACCCAACATTACAAATTTACTACTTACTTTCAAATCAAGAGTGACTAATGATCTTGTACTCAGTCCTTAGGTGTCACTGACCACAGAGTTGGTACCTTCTTTCTGTCCCTGCGCCTAGTAAATTAGTAAGGAAAAACATTAAGACCAATTCAAGCACAAAGTGGTAATTGTGACTCTGTGATACAAAGAGACTTACCAGAGAGATGAGATGGTCACAATCCTCTTCAGAGATTAAATCTTTATAAACAAAGACCCTGTCCCATATAAAAACTTTCAATCAATTTTCGAGTAGAGAAAGGATGATAGGCCATAAATACACTATGCTAGTAACTTATAATTCTTCACAAACAACAAATAATGAATAACATATCTTTTCTTGCCTTGCATTACTACAATTCGGTTAAGGGAAGATCTAAACCTATTCGACAGCAATTCGTGTCAAAATACCTGACCTTGGTTGCCAAGACAGCTGGACAACCCTTGATGGATCGATCCTGCTCGAGTGTACAAGATTTTCCTGGATTGTTTCCTTACTTCTTACTTCCTTTCTGCTACTACTGAACAACAAAAGCACAGTGCATTGACCATTCAGAAACATTTACATCTGAAACTCCTCGAAACAACCAAAAACAACATCAAGCACTGAGTAGCATATTCTATTAACAAAACTAGGAGTAACAAATATCTTGAAAGATTACTCCATAAAAGATTCTTCCCCACACATTAAGCACAGAAATCAACATTAACCTTCTAAAAAATTCTCCTATCTAAATAAATTTCACATCAGTCAATTTTTTGATAGCATTATCAGCTGAGCAGCAATCAAGTAATGATTTGTACTAATTCAGTGAGTTAACATGATGTTTTTACAGAAAAAGAAAGTCCAAATCAATAAAAAATCAGTGCACTTCTAAAAACCCTAAAAATTAAAGAAATAATCAAACTTTGACAGAAAACAAGAGTTGAATTAATGAATTAATTATTGAACTAATGCAGTGCGAAATTATGCATATAATTTCAAATAAATGAGAAATTGGTAGAATTATCCAGTTTTCCTTTGTAAGTGCAATAATTTGAGGTGCTGAATTTAATGATGTTGCTAATGATATACTGATAAGATAAGCTTGTAGAAATTTAGTTATGAATTCTTGTAATGTAAAGTGTGTTATTGGTCATTATATTTTGTTAATTAAGTTGTAACATATGACGAAGCCCACCCTGAAAAATTAGTAAGGACCAACTTTTTAGAGTGGTTGACCAGAAAAGCACTCCAACAAACTCTGAGTTAATAATAACCAAAAAGATCTTAGATGACAGCATAGAAAATGGAGAAAAACATGTACTCTGGTACTAATTTACATGTAAAAATATGTGGTACAGTTGGATTAAGTCCCAAATTATTAGGCAGGATGCACGGTATTTGTAATACATAAGACTATACGAGTATTGGTTGTGATAGATACAATAACATGAATAATGTAATGAATGATGATGATGATGATGAATTAATAAAGGAAGAGAAGAGACCTGAAATGCCGATGTCATAACCAAATAAGGAACCACCAGTAGTAGCAACAATGCAAGCAATGATAACATAAGAAGTCACAAGCAGATTCTCCAAGAATATATGATTTGCTCAACTAAATGGGTCTTTAGGGGGAACTAATTGGTTGAAGAATAGGGTTCTCTTTGCACAGTCGCACATTACTTAATATGTTAAAAATAGGATACTTGATTCAATTCAATAATCAAATTAAGCTCATATTCTAACCCCTAGTCCAGAAACTATTTTGAAAATTCTCATTTTCTACATCATTTGAGTCAATTTGACACATATATATCACTTAGCATCACGGGGTAAAGCTACTCATCATTGACATGAAAGATGGACATGAAGTCCCATCCTAGATCCGCCACTGCCCCATTCCCCAAAAACTGGGTTTGTTGTTGGAAAAGATTAGGAAATTCTTGAGTAAAAAGATAAGAAAATTGCTAGTGCAGACGAGATACAAACGTACAGTACCTTGGAATGGGTAAGATCAGGTACTACATAGTTAGGCAGCTTTTCTTGCACCCCAACATAGCCACCTGTAACAAAATTGAAGTTACTACGAGAAACCAAAGGAACAATACACATAATATGATTTATGTATAGCAGAGAATAAGACCTTTGCGGGTGTGAAATCCAGTGGGCTTGCAATTCTTTCCCTTGTAGTAATTCCTTGGCGCCCTCTTTGAAGAAAGGATATCAAGTGATGATGTACGCTTCCTGTGCATTGACCTTGCAAGTCCGAGTATCAATCCCAGAGGCATCCTTTCGTTTATGACAAATTAGCATCAAACCAAACCAAACCAATCAATAAATCCTAGTACAATCAAATTCAAACAAATTGCTGGAATTGAAGAAACCAATCTAATGCTTGAAGATCATAATGTAAATAAGCCCTTAGAACAACAACAAATTATCAAAAGTCCTACTACAGAAATACCCCAAGAATTTCTTTGTCCAATCACTCTAGAAATTATGACAGATCCTGTTATTGTTGCCACTGGACAGGTAACTCTATCTTTTTGTTAATTTCATTTTATTTGCCTTTCATTTTGATTGAAAGTTAATTTTTTCGTTTCTGACAAATTAGCATCAAATCAAACCAATCAATAAATCCTAGTACAATCAATTTATTTAGTATTCATATACTAAATAATTTACTTCTTCGAAAACTAACCTACTGCGAACAAATTATCCAAACCAACACAATACAAGTGATTATACCCAGGCCCAACCTAAACCATGGCAGGAGGGAAAAGATATTTTATTTCATATTGAATTATCTCGAAAAATACATAAATTTAGGGATACTTGATTCAATAATCAAATTACGCTCATAATTTTCTTTTCTTTGGATATGATGTCTCATAATCTAAGAATTTGCGAACCCAAAACTTAAAGCACTGATAATTATATTAGATTAGATCAAATATAAACCCTACATTGTGAAATTGATATGATGATAACAACAACAAACAACTTACCTTAGAAGCTGCTTCAATGGGGGATACAAGAATTAGATTCAACGGAGAACGCTTCAATGGAGAACATTGAGTGCGCTTCAATGAAATAACTCAGAGACTTAGGAAATAGGAATAGAGGCCTTTAATGGAGAAGGAGATCGAAGGAGAGAGACGGAGTGTTAGGAAAGCTCAGAATCCCCTTCAATGGTAGAAATTCGAGTACGCTACAATGGAGGAGAGAGAGGGGCAGATCAGATGAGAACGAAGAGGAAAGAGCAAGGAAATGAAGAATGACGCGCCTTAATCCGGGTTTTGTTTTTTTAAATGGCACCGGTTCAAACCGGTGCTAATTATTATAGTTGGCACCGGTTTAAGGCGAACTGGTGCCAACTCTATTGCTTTCTTTGTTTTTTTTATTTTTTTATTTTTTTTTAAGGTTGGCACCGGTTTGAACCGGTGCTAATTAAATGAGCAACTCCCTATTTTCCAATCCCGCCCATTTTTTTTTGGCACCGGTTTTCAAGAACCGGTGCTATAGGGGGGGTGCCTATTTGATTTTTTCTACTAGTGCTGGGGCATATTTGGACCATATCTTTGATCTTTGTATGTGAAAAACCCTCAACCGGAAAGATTTCGCCTGGGGCATTTGTAGACCATAGATTTTCAAAACTAAACACAAGCGGTAATGGACCGTCTGGGGGGTCTTTGAACAACTCTTCATGAATACCGTTTGGTGTATTTTTGAGAAGTCTCAAATAACCGCTTAAAGGACCCTCATCCGGAAATTTTCCGTCTGGGGTATTTCTGAGCAATCTTCAAAAATTGTCTTTTAGAGTAGTTTTTTGCATTTCGTTTTCAAAGGACCCTTAGGCGGCTAAATACCGTTTGAGGTATGTTTGAGCAAGTTTTCACAACTTATAGGTCCTCAGCCGGTCTTCAAACTGTCTAGGTTATTTACAAATAACTTTTTGGCCTTGTAGTTACAAGACACTCAGGCGGTCTTTGAACAGACCTAGATGATGCCACTTGAGGTATCCTTGGAAAAAGCTTCGCTGAAACCGTCTGTAGTATCTTTGAGTCATCTTCCGTAGATACCATCTGTAGTATCTTTGAGTCATGCATTGATTTGTGCTTTTGCTTTTTATTTCAGCAATCTTCAGCAGCCGTAGTACACCGCTTGTGGTATCTTCAAGCCACATTTCAGATTTTCAACTTTTCTTCAAATCTTCAAATATCAAGGTATCACCCTTGTCTTCTTTTTTCTGACTTTTGAGTTTACCGGTTGCATAGGATAGAGAATAATGGACTCTCCCAACTCACACATGGCACGACCTAGGGCAGTCAACCGATCACCGGATACGGCTGAATCTAGGACTGGGAATGCCGTCTAGGGTGTTTGGACCACCCTTACTTTTCTGAGAACCCGACCGTTTCTGTTCATGTGCACGACAGAATGGCTCGGATCAGATCGACGGCTGTTGACCCTGACTACAAGTCTCAAGGTTCAGCCGGAACTCCGGTTGAGAAGTACCTTATGATCAACCAGGCGTTTCGAATACGTCTGCAGATGAAATTTTAGAAGAGTTGGAGAACTCCAATGGTGAGGAGTCTGACCAAGGAGCCGAGTCTAATGATTCTACAATGTCACCGGATGCTCCTACAAATGACGAGGAAGCGTACAACTGGCCTTCCATAAACAACCTAATGGAGGCCATTATGAGCGCCCGGGATGTCGTGACTTTAAATGCAACATTGCCCGGATTTTTGGAAAAACACCCGGTTGGGGAGGACTGGGAGGTTATCGTTCCACCGGGTGACTCATCAGTTTTCTGGGATGACAACTTGAAACATTTTGATAACTACTTCGGCTGCTACGAGGTGGCATTCAAAGCCGGCCTCTGGTTTCCCTTACACATATGCATCAAAGCCCTGCTGAGAGGCTATGATTTGGGAGTATGGCAGCTTACACCCAACTCTTGGGTGAATATTATAGGATACATTTCCGCCTATGAGACACAGGAGGTGACGCCTAGCTGGGAGGCGTTTGCCCACATGCATTACCTTAGCCGGGCACCGGGTGGTTGGAACGCATGGTACACACTTACAACCCTTCCAGAATATATGATGACATTGGAGAAGCCCTCCAAATGGACAAGTTTTATTATGTCTCTTCCCCTTCTACGACTGCAAACCACCGGATGCGCCGTTAGAATAAAAAATTGGATCTCTTAGGGAAAAAGTGCACCTTACCCAGAATTCCGTCTGAGGCCCGGGACGCAATAATGGAACCTGGTCTTTTCACCAAAACAACTCTTCCTTTGGATGATGGGACTCAAGTCATAGTCCCCAAATTCTGGGTCTCTCATCCGGACTGGTTTAGAGACGAGGCGTTTCTTTCCGCCTGCGGCTTAGCACTCGTTGGGACAGACGTAGGTTTACTACTTCAACCGGCATTATTGTGCCGCTTAATATAGTATTTTGAGTGTACATATTGTAGGGTTTCGTAGTGACCCGACACTACGCGGAAGGAAACCCACCAAGACCCACCCCTTAATTAAAGCAATTAACAAGCATAATAAACTTAATCAAACAAGACTAAGAACAAGAATTATACTTTTGACGCGTGCTTCGCTCCCAAAGAGCTCTTACTTTAAAATCCCGAAAAGTTGAGATCTCCGACGGATCGTACCCTCGACCCGACCCAAGCGTCCTAAGTCTTGAAGGTTAGTCAAGACCCGGACAAAATAACTATGAGTTTTACGAATCAAAGGTTTACTCTTTCTTAGAGTTGTCTTTTTAATTCCACTCAAGGTTGTCATCTCAAAATCCCAACCAAGTGGGTATTTATAGAGAATGGAGACTTGAAACCCCTTTTCATGATCAATGTGGGATCATGTGCAATTGCAATAATTTATTTAATTCCAAAATAAATAATTATGCAAAAGCAATCACAAGCCAACAACTGGCAAAAGGAGAGAATGGGTTAGGTGCGGACCATATCCCATGGGGGGAACCATTGCCTTGCTCCCTAAGGGAAGCTTGGTGGCTTTGGTCCCTACCTCACCTTAAACCTCCACTCACAAGAGGTGTTGGGCTGCTGCCAGCTAGCATGTGCAAGTCAGCCCAGCCAGCTAGCATGTGCCTGCCAGCAGCCTCGCATGCTTGGTGCTAGGCTGTGCTAGGCGCTTGTGCTGGCCAGTGCTAGCTGCTGCGCGCTGCTGGCTTCCTAGCACTCCCCAACGCACGCACATGCCTCGCACTACCAGCATGTGTGCTGCTAGCGAGCCACGCATGGTGGCCCCCCTTAGCTTCGCACACCACGCACACACCTTCGCAGCACCTCTCGCACTAGCCACGCTTGATGCGCAGCGTGCATTGGCCTCGCACCACACGCACGCCCACGCATCACACAACAGTCTTGGTGCGTGGTGATGCTGGGATGCTGTGCGTGGCCTAGCACTATGCTGGCACCCAGGCCCTGGCATATAGTGCGATGCTTGGTGCTGTCATGCGAAGGCTAGCACACAAGCCAGCACACACATGGTGCGTCAATGCGAGGCAGGCACCCATGCTAGCACATGGTGCCAGTGATGGTGCTGTCATGCCAGGCACCCACGCACGCAACACCCAGTGCCTGCGATGGTGCCCCCGGTGCGCCTGGTGCCTGCGATGGGTTGCTAGGTGCCCCTGGTGCGCCTGGTGCCTACGATGGCTTGCTAGGTGCGCCTATTGCTTGCGATAGGCTGCCAAGCCGCGCCTAGGCTGCGATAGTGCCTAGCACACCATGGTGCGCCTAGCACACACACGGTGCACCTAGGCTTGCGACGAGCTAGCCTAGCCTAGCTACGGCTACGCTCATACTTGTTGCTTGTGATTTTGCGACGCTCGGTCTCGACGCCCTAGGCTCGATTTCCGACGTCTGTATTCGTAAAACTCTGTCGACTCATTAAATCCTTTTGGATTAATTCGTCATCTCGGATCGGTGATTCGATTGGGTTCGACTCGAAGGGTTCAGTTAAGATCAAGCTGTAATATCAATTGGACCTCGATATTACTGATCGAAAGCGTCCTCCACCTAGGCATTCCGATCACTTGAACTTACTGAAGAATTAGCTCTGTAATAATTCTGAACCCTCTATCAGAAGAATACACTTGTTGGAAGGACACCATTCCTTTCAATCTCCCACTTGTCCGTCCGGACAAGTGTGCATACAGTGTATAGCTTATTTCCTATGTCACTTAATGTTTCTTCGTGAACTATAAGGTAAGATTCTTTGTCATCCTGATTACGTTCAGAAGTGTTTCTCGATCTCCGAGTTCGACTGTCAATAAGCAGATGATTTCTAAAATCCATCTGAGCACGGCCATGCATTTTCACAGTCTCGCTCTTCGAGCGGCCTTGTAAACAACAAAACATTTTCCCTATTGTTAGTAGGGGGACAATCCCAGTCTTGTATTGTAAGTTCTTCTTACTAAGAGGACATAGTCTGCGGAGTGTTCCCGTTATGATCCCCAGTTACGGAAGACGTTTGGAAACATCAAAGAGTCTAGTACTCAAACAAGAAAACTTCACAGTACTCATGGTCGGAGGAAACAAGTTCCGAAAGTCATAATGAGAAATGTACTTATGACAAAATTTAAATTTTTCTTAAAGTACTCTCATAGGTCTTATCAAGTACAGTTCCAAACTATACCTGTGCAAATGATTTATGATCGTCACGTCCTCGCAGCACAAGAAACGGTGCTGTAAATCATACTACACACTAATTTATTGCGGTCATCAATCGTCCATCTATTAGATGACCTCGATTAGGGACAATTTTCGATTTAATATTCAATGTTCACTTAACAGGTGTTTCTTTATGCAAGACATGGTCTTCATACCCTGTTTTGAATATTTCTGTAAATCGAATGGACTCATAATTTAATTCTAAACCACAATTAAATAGTAATGGAGTGAATGATAATTTTGCACAAAATTAATTACTCCATTAATGAATGATTTTAATACAGTGTCTTACATTAAATCAACCCGTTTAATTAAAACACATGTACAAGGAATTTTCAAAGCCAGTCTCCTATGAGCTTGATTCCCATTGCCTACATTATCACTTGAGGCAAAGGTTTAGTCAAAGGATCGGCTACATTATCATCCGTGCCGATCTTACAAATTCTGATTTCACCTTCGGATTTCCATTCCCTTATCATGTGAAATTGCCTTTGCACGTGTTTGACCTTCTAGTGTTCTCTCGGCTCCCTGGCCTGAGCGATAGCTCCTTTGTTATCATAATAGAGGTCTATCGGCTCCTTGATTGAGGGTACAACACCAAGTTCACTGATGAACTTCCGGATCCAAGCAGCTTCCTTGGCTGCTTCTGAGGCGGCCAAGTACTCGGCTTCAGTTGTAGAGTCTGCAGTGGTGCTCTACTTGGCACTCTTCCAGCTCAACGCTCCTCCATTCAGACAGAATACATATCTTGACTGTGACTTGAAGTCATCTCTGTCAGTCTGGAAGCTAGCGTCGGTGTAACCTTCAAC